ATACGAATTTAGGATTATTATAGAAGCGTAAAATCTGGACTTTTTTAAGAACTTTTGAGAGGGTTTCTGAAAACACCTAATTTTTAGCTGATTTTCATATAAAACGGGTTTCGAGAAATTTCATTGAATATTATTTTAAGCATTTATACTTACAGATACAATAATGTATAAAATAAGTCCTTTATGTAAATATTAACATCAGAGATATTTTATAAAACCATTCGTGAATTTTTGCTAAAATAAAAGAATACATTAAAGTGGAATTGATGGCATGTTATTCAGTGCATTTAGCACTTTTCGTAAAAGTTAAAAGAAAAAAGTTGTAGCAATTTTTTAGGAAATGTAGGTGCTTTTTCCTGAAAATGCGCAATATTGAGCTCATTTTCACACAGAAGTTTTTGAATTTTGAATAAACTTGATAAGACGTTAGAGTATTTGAAGAACTTGTACTCATAAATCCAATAAAGTATAGCCGCCGGTATGCTAATATTAACGACGTGAGAAATATCAATTTTCATTTAAGGATTTTTTTAAATAAGAAAGTAATACAACAGAATGGCGTCTGATAAAGTCTTGTTTTTTAAATTTTTTAATATTGTCCACATTTTAATGAAAATTGCGCAAAAGCTACTAACATTTTCAAAATAAAAAATTACTTTTTGTTTATTCAAGAACTAATAGAGAACAAAATTAATTTGAAAAAATAATCGCTGACCAATATAATTTTCGAAAATTTAAAGTTCACAGTGAAAATGCGAATCTTTATAAGTGTATTTCAAGAAATTCATAGAACAAATTTGAAGCCGATTCTCAGAAATTTTGGAAAATGTTTCACGTACAGTTCCCCAACATTTAGAGAATGTTCATGAAAATAGCAGGGCTTCAAGTCGAGTTAGAATGATCGGGTAATGTTCATTTTGAGGAAATATTTTGAGAACAGTTTAGGCGCTAGTGTTGTTTGCTGATGTACGGACTTTTTTTTTTAATACACTTTTTCGGTGTTGCGGCAGCAAAATGTATTTATGTTGAACTCTAGATATCGATTTTCCGGAACATTACATACTAACTTCTTCTAAATAACGTATACTCCGTGTATACGAACATATACGAGAAAGTAAAAATTGGAATATAAAATCTCCAAAGTTTCGATCCAATAGAATAATTCTAGGTGATTTTTTAGTATATAAAACGGTTAAAATATTGGATTCTCACAGCAAATACTCATCACATTGTGTGATCGAACATTTCGGACAAGTTTGATCCACAGTGTGGGCCCTTGAGTATGAGTATTTGCTGTGAGATCTCATCACATTTCGACCGGTTTTATATATAACGCAAGAGGGTCCTTAAGCAATTGGATTGCAATGTTCCAAAACTTGTGATTTCAACTTTTAATAAATACATATTTGTTTTATTTATGTGTCTGAACCAAAATACTTTCAAAAAGCCAACAGACAATAGTACTAATATATATTTATGATTGGACGTAACCTAAAAAAAATTCACATGGCACTTAGGAGTGTTTATGCTTATGGTGAAGCGTTTATTGCTATTTTTTAGCAACGTGTCTGATTTTTTAATAGGCGACGTGTAAGAGGCATCTGGGGGGGGGAGAAGGTGTATAGATTACGGAAGGTATGGTCCTATTGAAAGTTGGGTAGAGGCAGAACGAAGTTCGTACAGAAATAATGCGTAAAGCGTTAGGTACACGAAGAGCCCAGTGTAAGTACACTGCTGTTTAGGAAAATTGCAACACCCAGAAGGAATGGTCGGAATCACTTAAAAATCGGTGATTGTGTAGAACCATAAGAAGTGATGAAATTTGCATAGAGATGGCACAATGGCCTTGCGCCGTCTTTCGTGTGATAGGTCAGGTCAGTGTTACGTCACACTAGTCGGTGTAGAGCCGTCAAACAACGTGGAAAAGTTCAAGCATGTGCCGGTATGCCTTGTCGACGCCAAACGGCGCACTATTTGCATCTGAGCGAGTTCGAACGAGGCAGAATGATTGGTCTCCGGGAAGCGGATTTGCCTTACCGGGAAACTGCAGCTCAAACGGGGCTCGCTGCTTCGTTAGTGATGTGTGTGTGGAAACAGTGAGTAGAGGAGGGTCGTACACAGCGACGAGCGGGTTCAGGTCCACACAATGCGAGATGACCGCCCTCTTGTCCGCATGGTGGTAACCGAGAGAACGACAGTGTTGACTCGACTTTGGAGCACTGCAACGTGTGTAGTCGTGTCTGCGTCGACGGTTCGATGCCGTCTGCTGAGGGCTGGACTGGGGGCACGCATACCGATACGTCGGATTGCTTTGTCTAAAAACCAGCAACGTCTCAGACAGTAATGGGCACGTGAACGTGATCACTGAGGTGCTGTATGGCAAAACGTGATGTTTTCGGACGAGTGTCTCTTCAGTTTGTGCTGCAGCAGTGGCCCCGTATGTGTTCGACGCTTCCGAGGTGATTGCAATCTGCCAGCTTGCGTTATCTGCACCGTAGCAGACAAACTCCAACTGTGGTGGTTTGAGGCGGCATTGGCTACAACTATGCGATCTTTCCTCATACGTATTGAGGGCAATTTGACCAGCAAACGCTGCATTAGGGACGTTTCAGAACATGAGGTACTGCCCCTCCTGCAAGCAGCTCCGCATGCCATATTTCAGAAGGACAATGCCCGACCGCATGTGTCGAGGAATGTGCAAGCTTTCTGTGAAGAACGACGGGTACCATTGCTTCCCCTGCTCGCACATTCGCCTGACATGTCGCTCATCAAACATGTCCGGGATATGATCGGTCGGCAACTTGTTCGTTCTGGTCCTTCTGCAGCCACTGTCGGTGCTTTGTGGTCACGCGTAGAAACCGCGTGGCAGTGCGTTGCCCAGAAATATATAGAGGCTCTCTTTCAATCCATGCCACATCTAGGAGCTCTGATGGCGGCGCGTGGCGGCTTCACACCGTACTAAATTCTCAAGATCAAAATGCAGATACAGTTCTGTAATTCTAACCATTTGTATTGTGTGATATTCCGAATCTGTGGAATTAATTTCATTGTAATAGTATGTATACTTCTTGGTGTTTCAGTTTTCACAAACATCAGTGTATTTATGTGAAAGGCCGAATGATGTTTAGAATTACATGTCGTCATTTTACATCTAACACTACCCATCACTAACCTACTAATCTATGATATCGGTGTTGCTAAACTTCACCTAATTGAGAAGACACATGTTTTAACGTTTCTTCCATAGAATGTATCTGAATTTCTAATGGCATATACTAATTTATAATATTAGCAATCCAGGAGTTTTGTTAACTTCCGTTATCGGTCAAATGCGTCTTTAACCCCTGTTAACATGCAACCCAACATATGTGTTAAGTGCAGTTGTACCTATCTGTATGTTAAGAAATTTAACATCTTTAGCAACGGGTTTTTACATCCAACGTAAATGCTATCATCTATTCATCGCAAGTCAAATGTTTATTAAACAAAGCTGGTGATGAATTGTACAAATCATTCAATCAAAATACTCGAACTAATAAATAATTCATAACGAAAGTACCTCAGATTATTTTTGGGGATAATTATTTTTAATTGTAATATAAATAGCGCAATTAAAAAAACTATATTAGGTAAATTAACCTAATTTTCCTGGCATTTTACCAATCAAACTCTTCTCCGGTAAAAATATTTACAGACGATCTGAAGGTGTCACCATTGGCAGTCGACACGCCAACTTCCTCATCGAACGTCATTTCTTTAAGTATCTTGAGGTTCAGGAGAATTATTTGCATCCATCTTTTCTCAAATCACGGTATAGGAATTTTTATTAAATAGACATATCGCAAGCTATACCCCACTATGACGTAGTATCGTGCCGCAGGAACAGAATTAATTTGTTTACTATCTCAGTAATGTAAATTTTCGCATAAATAGTGAGATTTTATGACTGAACGTGAATGCTGAACATATCACGAAATGTTAATGTTATTACTGCCTCGTCCAAATTAAAAATCTCAGCTCCGCCTCGATTTTCAAGTTTTGGCCTCTGCATTAATAACACTCATAACATTTCGTGGTATGTCAATAGCTATAAATCTGGGATCGAGTGCACAGCGTTCTCTGTCATGCCGCTGCATACCATAGTAATAACTATGAACAAAACTGCATTTTCAGTATAAAACCTTTGTTAATGTTCTCTAGCGAGGTTGCAAATGTGTTGTTCACGATTTGTCCGTTCCATCGATGTCACAGAGACACGAGGCATCACCCAGCCCAATTGCACACGTCCGGTGTAACGTTTCAAACGTCAGAGCGACACAGTTACGTATCTTCGATTTCCCGTCCATCGCTTCTTACTTGAGAAAATAAAGGTGTTTCGTAATAACAAAAAAATAAAATAAAATAAATTATTTTCAAGACTTCTGTCTTACAGTTTACAAAATTCTCAACCACTTCGAAGTTATTATTCATAATGTACCTAGCATATCAAACATACCCTTGCATAAATCCACATTCCCGTGTATCTCAAAATGTTTCGTAATAGCCTCTACGACCTCCAAAGCATTCTACTTGTTATTTTAGAACTTCTCGCATAAATGGGGGGACAAGAAGGTAAATTAGAGTCTAACCCATTTGTATATTGCGGACCGACCCAGGGAATGGCATACGTAAATTACGGACTGACTACCTCATCCCCTTCCAGGTCAAAGTGGAAAGAGACACTTTATTTTTGAAGAATATTTTAATAGTCATTAGTTTTAAAACAAATACCCAATTTTCCTGACTTAAGACTGTCATATTTCGTTCAAAAAATGGTTTGGTTAAAGTTTGTTTCAATTCAATTGAATCAGTGAATGATTTCTACCTTTCTTGCCATTTTCTATTCTTCCCTTCCTTCCCTTTTTCCCTTTCCACATCCTTTCCAACTAATATTGTAAAATGTGAAACGTGAAATTTGGACCACCCTTATAGTGCTTTCTTTGCTCTTCATTTTGATACAGGACCGAGTCGAAGATTTTCAATAACCCAGATGGAATATCTGGAGGATATCGCAACGGCGACAGTGGCGGCATCCCCCCTAATGCGCTTACTTGCTCAATCAATCCTCCTCCTTACCTAGGTTGGTTTGGTCCAAAATTTACATGTAGAACTAGAAAGTAAGTTTCGCGAACAACGATCGAGGCATTATTTAATTCTCAATTTACAAACGCCCCGTCATAATTCCCCGTTGCTTGGAGAAGATAAGTGGCAACAGTAAACCGCTAGGTTACACCGCCGCAGTACCTGCGGGGGTGTGGCAGCCGGCTTTAATTGCGCGCCGGAAAGTGACATTCGAACCTGATTTTCTCGAAGACATTTTTTACGGGGGGCACTGTATCTCCCATTCTTCATGAAATTCGACATACAATTTTGGGTATTTTTTGCCACAGAAGCATCCGGACATCTTATGTATTCGAGAAAGAAGCCTCATTCGCTCCCTCGACGTTCGCGAGGCAACACCTTCTTCTAGTGGATAAAATATCGTTTTATCGTCTTGTATAATCAATTGCTATTGGTAGTAATGCAAAAACGTTTATAATGGAAAAGGTGCTACGGCCCCGAGTTTAAGGGCTCTTTAAGATATTAATCCAATTCTGACTATTATCATGATATATTATTATCACTCAATCTTTCTCAAGAGTACTGCATAACTGTTCTCAAGAAATCCTTATTCCGACAACCATGCATTGGACATTGTAAGTACTATCATTTCAAAGCATTTCAATTTAGTGACGTTGTTTTCCGGAATGAATATGTATGTAGGATAATTGTATTAATATTATCATAAAGACAAGCAATTCATTCTAGCATTAGATTAAATGGAAATATATTCTGTTTTCTAATTTGGACGATATTTCTCCGAAATTTCTGCGTAATTCACACGGAAGAAAGTATTCTACAGCTGAGCCAGGAATATTTGAACATTTGTGTAAAGCTCAAGTTCAAAACTTTTCCAAAGATTTTAGTCCTCTCTCACGACTAAATAGTTTAATGTACTTAAGATAAAATTTCCCTAAATAACAGGTTTTTGAGTCTCATTAAGTGTCTAAATTATCATGGCACTTTTCAATTAAGATTACATTAAAAATTATTTACAAGATACTATCTATTCCAAACACTTTGACTTTGAAGGTACTGATCTACAATACTCACCACAACAAAGTAAATTGTTTGAGACAGAATGTAAATAGATTACCATAGAACTTTCTTTTTGTATGAACATTTACCACACACTAGGTTTTAGAATCAATTTGGATTAGAACACTTTTGAAATATAATTATAGACAATGGAACTGAACAACTCTAATGAATAATTTCAGGGTAACTAATACCGCACGACAAATATCATGGGATTTTAATAAAAATGATTTCATGACTTTTAAACTGTTGCACAAGTACAGCCGAGGCTTCAATATCTTACACAATTGAAAAGAGAGTATTTTCGAACTCTCAGTTAAGTTACAAATGTCTCCTTAAAATCCTCCTATGAAAGTTGTACCTAACCCCTTACCCATGGTAACCACTTACCCAGGGCCGGATAAACCAGTAGGCTCGTTAGGCACAGCGCCTAGTGCCTACGAACATGAGGGGCCTACGATAGGGCCTACTAATAAAATTTTTTGCGAGTTTATTTCAGGACTAAAAATAAGGAAATCACATATAAACAAGATTTATAGTGTTTTACAAAGATTAGAATGTTTTCAAATTCCAAATTAAAAAGTTCATAAAAGAGCGCGAAAAAAATGAAAAATAAAGAGGACTCATCTTTCAGTCACATAAGACGACGTAAATTTCGATTGAATTCTGTTATTCCTCTCTTTTCCTCTAAATTAGTTTTTTTTTAATTCCAAATATTCTAATAATTACAGTTTAATACGTATATATTTTTCTGAGACCTACGAAACAATTGTCTACGTCCAGCTTAATCGGAAATGATGGAATGCGAAATGATGGAGTAGGCTTGACCGTAACACGTCGATCGCTCGCCCCCCCCCCGCCCCCGCAGGCGCAAGTAGTTCGCGTAGAAGCGCAATGTTGATTAATTGGAAGTGATTCCGGGCGCGTCTACTACGAGGGTCATTTTTTTGTTCGAGAGGTGTGGGTTATCTTCACCCGCTGTATGGCGAGATCCGGCGCCGACCTACCGGCTAGCGGGGTTTTCCCCAACCGGGCTTCTCCCACCAGCGAGACACCGCCCCCAGCCGGAATAAGCCCTAAGCTCCCGACCGGTCTCCCGGCATGTGTGGTTATGTAGTCCATGGTAGTGTAAATGTGTGTAAGGGGTGAGGATAGGACAAGGAAGAGATACGAAAGCTTGCGGGCGGACCGTGGCCCATTTGTTAGGATACTGCTCCGACATTCGCCTGGCGTTGATGGGAGAAACTAAGGAAAACTACCGATCAGGGCAGCCGTAAGAATTCTCTTACAGACAGTGACTGAATTCGACCTAGATGACAAGCTAGTGTCGAAAATCCTGCCACCGTCGGGACTGGAACCCGGTCAGAGGGACTGCAGTAACATCAATAACATCAGTTGATGCGAGCCATCTCTCCCAGTTAGAAGCACTCGTTAGGAAAACCCTTCGAGTTGAGTCTGCTACCGCAGGAAGGCAGTGCCTATTAAGGGGTTGTGGCGGTTCGTGTCCTTGTAGCGTGTTGGCGCTAACTATTTAAAATCTCTATATGTAAAACACTCTGAGTAGATAACGTTTTTTTTTATTTTATTTTAAAAATCCGTCTACTCAAAGCCATGTAAGTGTGCGACTGCAGGATATGGACTTTCTCTCCTGTCTTCCAAAAGATTTAACATGAGAAAATAATAATTTAATTTGCAGATTAGTCATAGCATGAGATCATTACGACACACAATTTTATTAATTTTTTTGTTGCGAATTGGTAATCTTTGGACCAAGGGAACATACAGCTGTACCCACCGAGGCAGTCTTATTTTCCCGGGGGCAGGTGCGCTTTTTTGGGTATCGGCTTTACCATGCTAAATCCATTCTTTAGACCCTAGGGTGTAGATTATGATGATGATGATGATGAAAGGGGGATGGTGAATGGACAACCGCAAACATACAAACTTTCTTGCACGGCGGGACTAGAACCCACGACCCTTAAGGCACGAGGTAGTTATGGCTCTTCAGCCTTAGCAACCACAGCTATTCGCGCCGGCTTTTATTAAATTATTATTATTATTATTATTATTATTATTATTATTACTATTATTATTACTATTATTATTATTTTTTGCGAGGAGCCATGAGTTGTGAGGTGATAGGATGATGATGAGAAGGGAGAGATGATCGTGGGCTTTTGAACCATCCCGACATTCGCCTGAACGACCGAGGGAAACTTCGAAAACCCCAGTCAGGATCGAACTCGGGCCTCCCGACAGCGAAGTCAGTGCTCGGTTATTGTTATTATTATATTTATTATTATTAATATTATTTTTATTATTACACGACATTAGCAATTTTATATATCTACTGTTGGAGGAGACAGAAACATACATACGAGTTTTTGTATTGGTTCTTTTTCTAATACAAACTATCGTCCCTCATTACACTGATTTATTATGATATGCATTTATGATAAATGACACTTCAATAATAACACAATATTTAACTTAATTATCCTAACACCTACCATTACTCCAAGCGAAACGGAACGAGTTTGTGATCATGCTGGAGCAGTTCTACCGTATGAAAAGTGTCAGGTTTCTTGTGTTGCAAACTGTTTAATGGGCGGATCGTGTGTCAGTACTCGCGGTGCTCAACTGAAACAGGCGAGACCATTAATGAATGAACAGACTAGGCACGTGCTTCTCCGCGTAAAATAAATACTGCGGATGAGCAGTTAACGAACAATATGGATCACAAATAATAAAGGCAACGAATAGTTCGCAGAACACTTTTATGCTCGGGTAACAGACACCTCAAAGAATTATCTAAACAGTTATTGCCATTTATAAAAGGTTTCTGGGAGGATTTTTGACAGCTACCTTCACAATAAATCACTGCTTCTTAATTTTTCATAATTAAAAGATTTTATTTTTTTACAATTATCTATTTGTTTCTAAAGTGTACTTTTAACTTGCGTGCGGGGGGAAACCAAACAGACATCATATAGTTCTTTATCGAAGATATGACAGTCTGATTATGTACAGTCATCAAATGTGAAATAATCAAGTTGAATCAACAAATCGAATAAATACACAGTGTGAAAACATGTACCTTGCCTGTCTTTTTTCGTTTACTCCGTTCGACAAGGCCGATTTCAGTGGTCGCTGGTAGGTGGCTAGGTCATGCTGACTCTCCTCAAAACATTCCAATTTGAGAAAATGCCCTCTTTCGTCCAACAGAATCGAGGAAGAAAATGATTCCTTCGATAATCACTTCAAAAGATACCTGTCTCCAAAGGACATACTTATCAACTATTTTTTTAAATAGATTAAAATATATTAATCGGGGACAGTCAAGATCGAATAAAATGAATTAAATTCCGTAATGAAAAAAATTCCCAAGATACATAAATTTGTAATTTAGTGCAAATGTGTTGATTCATTTAGTTCGAGTGGCAAATTCTAGTCACAATCTTGATTGGGTTTTTGTGCCAGTGCCCTTGATGGAATGCTGAGATGTCTTGCTTTGCTTCTGGGCTGTAAATTTGTCTTTCCGTAGTAGTTTCCCTTACTTTTTTTATATTAATTACATACAATTTATTTTATTAAAATATAGATATAAAAAAGTACTTGAAAGTTTGGAAATTATGCTTTAATTCATTGATTTATTTTCTGCACAATTAGAAAACTAATGTCTTGGCGTATAAAAGCGTGAATTCAAAGTGTTCTTTGGGAAACAGGTCAGCACCGACGATAAGTATTTTACTTGCGAATTGGGATTATTTTTTCCAGACAGGACATTCAAAATGTCGGGGGAGGGCAAATGGAAGGATTATGAGTGAATCGAATACCATCTTCGCGTAACCAAGACAATCTGAACGAATCCTATCAATGCACTCGAGACACATTTTTCATGTGAATTTTTTCTTGATTTGCATTCCTTAATTTGAGCATTCCAAAATTCGGAAATCATATGAGAGTGGTAATAAGATTGTTTCCCTGGCAAGGAAAAATTAATTCATTTTTAGAAGGGGTTCCGGCTTAAGTGGCTTAGGGCATCAATTGATGTCAAGTCACTCCCTCTAAGAGAATCGAGGGATCACGTCCGGACACTTAATTCTTATTAGAGTATGAATTTATTCTATTTTTTTCTGAGTTAAGAAACAGGTTTCTGTTTAGAGGATATTTGTTGAAATTTACCGTAATGCAAGAATGATGTTCCTGTTCTTCGGGACCCCGATTTTTTAATTTAACTTTCCATCTGGGTTTTTCGTTTGTTTCTAAAGATGAACCCTGCCTGCAGCAGCTGGTTGCACGTGGTTCGCTGTGCACACTGGCGCCTTTTATTCCTTGCTAAACACCCGTAGCGCTTGACGTCATACTCGCTGCTTCCACGCATGCATATATACATCTCAAAATCTAATTTTTATTATTTTCTTTTTTGTTTTGTTTTTGCTAATCGAAAAACTACCGCAAATATACGAAAATATATTTTACAAAAATTTGAGTCAGAGTCTCATGCAGAACTCACGAATCCCTCTGATGATCTCTTGTTAAAATCTAGCTGGGTTATCGTTATGAAATTCTTGGTAGTATGTTTCTGCATTCAATATTTGTTAACGAAGATTAAATACGGTCATAATTCAGAGGCTGCATATGCCTTTGTACACTTACATAGGAATTGACAGCTGAGTAACAAATGGGAAATGTGTGTACCTGAGAAAACTATCATCTAATCTTCGAGCGTAACGTTCGTAACAGTCTCTTTTTGTTGCAGAAATCCAATAAGACGGAAGAGAAAGATAATGATGAAACAACCTTAAACGCTAATACTATCACTTCTAACTCAGTAATATCAAGATTAAAAAACTTCTTTTCTGATTAATTATTTCACTTGTTAAGCAGTTCTCTCGAATAAATGAGCTGGGATAATCATAGAGCAATAATAAAGCTTCATTATTTCTTACATGTGCCGTCCGCCGTTATTACACTATTTCATCCGCAGATTGTTGTCTAAATTCGCAATTTCAGCCATGTGGCATTATTATTTACTAGGCTGTCCGGGGCGTAATGCATTACGCCCTGAGGAAGGTCGCAGAATGGCGCCCGAAACGTCGGCACCTTCGCCATGGACGCGGCGTCACCCGGACAGCCTAGTAAATACTGACTCCGGCCGCGGAAGCCTACGCTCTCATGTGGCATTATGTTCCTTTGCGCATCAGACAAAAATTCTGTAGAATACTCTTTCATATTTGTTTAATGAGGGTATTCACCCAATTTATACACTGAAATAACTTCGTGTTTTACTGAAATGTTTGTACTGAACAATATCGGATCCACAATCCTCGATATAGCGAATGCAGCAGGTAAATTTTTATTTCATAATGTATTTCTTTTTGCTTTTTATTGTAACAAAACGTGACAAAATATTAGCCACGTCATTTCATGCTCATGACAGCGCTGGCGGGAAGAGACGCCGGGCTGAACAATGGCAAACCGAGGGAGCGGAAGGGAACGGGTGCTGTGTCGTGGGTGGCGACTTGTGAACCTCGTAGACCACTTGGGGAAAACTTGTGAACCCCATAGACAGGCTGGCGTCGGTGAAAACATCGAGATGACACTGTTTCGTCAGCCGGCTCAGAAGGTAATATAAACGGACCCCGGACCTAAACTCCTTCTTCTGATTCTTGGGCGCGTCGGTAGGAAGTCGTGTGGGTTGTGTGCGGCGCTGCATTTCAATGCATAGGCTACTGAGGCAGGGAAGGCTACTGAAGTCGGCGTGCTACGTCGAGACTGGAGGTGTGGCATACTCGCTTGTATGCTCACGTAGGCTACTGGTGCATCACATCGAATAAGATATCTAATTATCAGGCCAGCTGTGGTGGTGACCAGGAACATTCCTTCTAGTAACGGGCCAATATTATTTATTCTAATTATTGTACATAATATTCAGGTGTTGGAGAATAATTCAAATAAATACTCAATAAATTACAAACCGTTCGCATCTGTGATTTATTGCCCCGGCAAAGACGCCATCGTATTTTAAGTTCTCTTTTATCATATTATGAGGCAGCCGCTTGGCGAATTGTTCTATTGACAGTCACATCTGAATATGTAATTAAATAAAAAAAGGTGTTGCCTGGTATTAATATATATTTAAACTTAAGATCTTTTCGATTTCGAAACGCAGTTCTGCAGAACTCCGTTTTCCACACAGACCCTGCAAGATATGATGATGATGATCACTACGCGATCGAAAATATCTTAGGTTTAAATATATATTTCATACCAGACAACACCTTTTGTTTATATCATTATTAGAAGGCATCTACTTCACCATCGAGCTTATTAATATAATCTGAATAGGTGTTGGCGCATGGACAAATGAAGCTCAAGCGAATTCCGAGGCAGCACGGCAGCTCATCAGTAGCAAATTTCGTCTGATAACTGCTCAAAATTGTTCGGATCGGCTAAACCGAACGTGAATGGCGACGGGGCAGCCTCTGTTTTCCTTTGGTGTCTGCCAGAAGGCTCCACGCACGAAGTTCCCTCTCTGTTAACCGCAATACGCGCAAAACAGCAAGCCAAAGAAAGTAGGTCGGGACTCATCCCCCTTGAGGTTGCCGACTTGGGGTTTTCTTGCCTTGCTGGAAGGGCATTAATTTATTTATTTATTTATTTATTTATTTATTTACTTCAAAGCAGTTACAAACTGTGTGTGACGTGCTATGGGGAGAAGTTAATTCGAAGTTACAATTATGTCCAGAAGGAAAACAAGGGGTCAACTCAGCATTTGCTCAAGGATCAGGGAAACTGGACGAAAATCTGATCGAGATGGGGGTCATTGACCCAGGGCTTCACGCGTCAGCGCGACGATCTCTGCCTCCTATTTTCAATCGTCGTGGACTGGACGTAGCAATAAATTCGAATCATGCATCGAAAAACCTGCAAACCAACAAAACTACTCACAATATATCAAGACGCTCACCCTCGAGCTGATGTACATAGATTTGATGCGCCACCTAAGGAAGGAGAAAGAGACCTCTGACAAATTGAAGCCTCCTGGCACAATTCAATAGCCGGATGCGAAAGTAAGTAGCCGATGTTCAAGATGACCTACTAATGAGGAAGGTCATTAAATCTAAACGAGGAATGGGAAACAAAAGCATTGTAAGTCTAGCAATAAGTATTGCGAAGAAAGCTATGCCAGACACGCAGAATAACACAGACACTGAACTTCTGATGGTTCTGAACATGAAATGTGAATCACAAAAAATTTGCTACAAAACATGAAACGTGACACATAAAAGTGACAAAACACTCTATGGACAGTATCTAAAAAAATGTACAAGGTACAGATCAATAAAAATCAATCATTTACGTGGCATAAAAGGGGAAGAAAGAAGCCAGAATAGGAAGCAATTGTCGTATCAGGCGTTTAAAAAACATTATGGTCAAAGGATTCTCAAAATTTAACCGGGATGATAAATACCGCATTTGCCAGGAACAATTAGAAACCATTGATCATATCGTCTCATCTTGTCCAATTCTCGCAAAGACTGAATACTTGAAAAGACATGACAGGGTGTGTAGTCCACTGACAGATCTGTACCGCCCTCGAAGTTCCAAATACATGCCCCAAGTGGTACGGACACTCACCAAAACCGGTGACATTGTTGCACGCTATACAATATTGATTGTACGAGCAACAAATTCAAACGGATCTCACAATAGCAGCAAACAAACTGGGTATTGTTATCCGGGATTTGGAGAAAAAATCGTGTCTTCTTGAAGATGTTGCTGTGCCATGCGATCAAAACGTCGTAACCATGGAGGCAGAGAAACGTCGTATGTATAAGTGTTGGGAAATCGAGATCAACCGAATATGGGGCGTAAAAGCACGTACCAAGAGACATTGGAGCTCTGGGACTTGATCCGCAAAATTTGTGTAAGGACTGGGCTTCCAAGCCCTTTAAAAGACTGGAAAAGTAAGAAATTGCTTTATTGCGTATTGTAGAGTCACCGATTGACTCTAAAGAAATTGCAAAAAGACTGGAAAAGCAAGAAATTGCTTTATTGCGTATTGTAGAGTCACCGATTGTCCCTACATCTGCTCCTTGGGTATCTGGTTGCAACCTGAGGTAGATTTTATATTCAGTCGACTCATAAAATCTTTAGTCACGATGTAGATGAATATTATTAATAATGATAATGATAATGTCCGCTCGTGGCGCTGACGGTTGCGGCAGCCGTCGTCTGCGCCGAGGAGGCTGCATCTTCGAGCCCTGCGTAGACATGGAAGTATTTGTGATTGTCCCTTCACCGCTCATTATCATCTCGTAATTCACACTTCAAGGCGTAACAACGTTGCCGTACTGAGGGATACAGCTGAAAAGCGATCCTGAAATTACACACGTGAATCGTGTAGCGTGGTCAGTAATAATAACATAGTAATAACGTCAATAATAATAATAATAATAATAATAATAATAATAATAATGATAAAATTTTCGATTTCTTTGAGATCGCTTGCTGCTGCCCATACACGGAAACCAAGTGCAAAGCTGCAGCAGCACGTGCCGCGGAGCAGGAGCGTTAGCGCGAACCGCTGAGGAAGAGAAGAAGGCATCGGCAGAGGCGGTAGGGGCAGCCCCGGCGGCGGCGGCGGCAGCGGCAGCAGCAGAAGCAGCGAAATCTCAGCCAAGGTCGGCCGCTGCGTGCGGGCGGCGAGACTCAGCCTCAGCAAAGCGCACCGTTGCATAACCGCTCCGACGCTCGCTGTCCCGCGCGACTGAGCGGTCCGGTGGCGGCGGCGGCTCCAGCTCAGGTTGCACACACCACTGATAATCAAATAAATTCTTGTAATATGTTAGGTATATACGTTTCCCTTTCAATGACATTCAATATTCAAGATATTTCAGCAACAGCGACTTATATGGAATCATTTTGAAATCCAACGAGTGCTCTCTCCGGGGACGGGTGCGCTACCAGGCAGTGCACCACTCTTTCAATTCTTTTGCTGCGTTTACTCTTTGGCCGCGCATAGCTATTCTCCAACATAGGGGTCCTCGTTGTTTTGGCATCGCAAAGAGCCACCGCCTTTCACAGTACGGGTCTGGTCGCAGATCACGGCTTCCGAGGATACTAATTTTCTGTCTTCGACTGACACTAGCTGCAACTTAATTTTATGAATTGTAATTGTGTTATTAAAAGTAGACAAGTTCAGTCAATTCTTGACGATATTTAATGCATTATTTATGTTTGGAGAATTTCTTTTCATTTTACTTTTGGTATGGTTTGATGATTCAAAATGTACATTTGATGAGTTCTTTGTGTGAAGTTGGCCGTTGTGGAAAAAAGGGAGTATTCTGCACAATGTATGTGAAATTTACGAGCGACATTGTAAATACGAGTTTACGTAAATTTCGAGAGACAGTTATTGCACGTGTTGTTCTTGTTGCTGCCAACAAATCATCTTCACGGAAGTAAGAATGTCTACCGATTTAAGAGAGATTACATTCCTAAAAAATTACACGCCTTTTATATTTGCAATCTATACGAGGGTAGTGAAATTTTCGGAATAAAATAATTTTATTTCCTTATCATTATGAGTAGTAGCAGCAATAACAATCAAGATCATGAAATGAACTAGCGATCACGGTGTTTTCGAAACTTAGTTCGTTTCTGGTTGTATGAATTATATTACCAGCAATTGTCTCAGTGCAAAACGAATTCAATATCTCGAGTGAGTACCGGAAATGAAAGCGAGTACCATGTGCGCGGGAGGCAAACATACCTGGCACAGCCACTAAGCATAGGATTACGTAAGTAATTAAGTAACGCTCACGAAGTGCATTCTTTCGGCACGTGATAATGCTCGGGAGTGGTAGTTTAATCAGTGCAGTTGTGTGTAGTTCAGTGTTGTGAAGTGTAGTTCAATCAATGTAGGAAGATGCTGTACAAATTTTTAACTTTACAATTTTCGAAAATACAGAGAGTTATTCGAACTGTGCCATTTCTTTTAAGTGTACTTTTCTCTATTCGAGAACAAGAAATAAAAAAAAATGAATGGTGATGTTTTAAAGAGCATCTTGGTTTTATAATTGCTTGTATTTCATGGAAAATTACGCGAAAACTTCTCATTAAAAAATCTACATGAGTCAATTTATAAATCTAACTTTGAAAAGCAAGTTTCATTCATAAAAAATATCTACATTCAATATTGTAGTTGAAGGAACAGGCCGAAAAAATGTTGAACTTTTGCAGTTGTAATTTTCGCTGTAACAGTTGAAATCGTATCTATGTAATTTGCATCAATGTATTTCACTCTTATTCTTAAGAAATTTGATGAAAAAATATGGAGCCCTTTTTGAGAAAATGTTGAAAACGCCCCCGGCACTTCGTGTACATCCCTCCAAATTCAAGAAATTATTTTAAAGTCACGGGGTATCGAGTCGGACAAGAGTTGTTTGGTAATATTCATTTTGGAAAATAATCCTATGAATGGTTTAGGGGATGTACAACTTCCAAGCCTCATGGGTCACAGCTGAAATCATTCATATGGTTGCGGACCATATTTACATTTGTCGAGTGATCCACACCTGTGTTCCCACATATTGTTGATCACGGCAGGTTTTCGGTTAGATTCGTTTTTTCGGTTGGAACACATTAGGACGATTTTCAATTTTTGATTGTACTAGCAAAACTTGTTAAATCCAAACTTAACCTATTTTCACATTGAGGGGGTGCAGACGTCGGCAGGGCGCGTGGGCAAGGCGGTCAACGTTCCCGCCCGAAGAGGGAGACAGAGACGTTCTCTTTTGACTAATAACCTTTTGCGGGCCACAAGAAATGCACCGCGGGCCGACAGTTGTATAACCTTGGTTTAGGCCATTGCAATTCACACGTGGACAGATTGAAATTGCTCTTGGCTGCCTAGGTGACATCGCGTCCTGGCGTCGAAGGCTGTCATTTCGATGTTTCGACCATCTTGTCCTGGGCCTTCCTCAGGGCTGGTCTGCTCAGCCTACAAAGAGCACTCACAAGACTTTGACGGTGGAAGCCTAAGACTTGACTAAACAGAAATACGTTTTTCTGTAAACCATTTTTACGATATTATGGACTCACAAAGTGTGAACTTTGACAACCCAACTTAATTTATCCACGTTTTCGTAAACAAAGCCACCACAAAACGATTTCTTTGTCAAATATAGCCACTTTCCGCTACATAATTACAATACTTTCTCTTTACTACGCATTTACAGCTGCTGCTTACAGAAGCTGAGAAAAAAACTGTTTGCTATTTAATACTGGCTATTTAATATTTGGTGATATTGGAGCGACAACTGGTGGTATAATCAGATAGATGTAGTGATTTTGGAATAGAGGACGGGTACTCAGAGTGCAAATTCTTTGAATTTCCCGGAAAGGAAGATAGCCCTGATATAACGACATAATGTTTCAGAACTGCCGTTACCGCCATACAATTGATCATTTAAAGGTGTACTAAATGCCTTCGTTCTCTCCACCAAGTCAGAGAAACAATCTTTCGACTAGGGTGTATGATTTTAGAAGAGCACTACTTAGTCCGTAGTCACCTTCAAGTAGCCCTCTCCAAGATAGTAAAGTTTATTTTATCACTATTTCTCAGAGATTTTATTCATGTTTCTCTCTAACTTAAAGGTATAAATTTGCAATAAAGGAAATAATAAAATGAGAAGACAAATAATTCTCAGTGCATGCTGTTCTTAAGAAATATAAGTATTGCTCTTTAAATTCGAGGCATACAAGTCGTCCCCTCATTTTCGTCGGGTTACACTTTGTTATTAATAAAAACGTTGTATATGTGCAATAAAACTGTAAGCAAAACTATTATTTAAGGCTAAATATATTGAAATTTTACGCCCTAGATGGCTCGTTTTTAGCGTGCTCTCTTTTCACGGCGCAACTCCGGGTTCGATTCCCGACCAGGCCAAAATAATAACTGTGCGCTTTCCTTACAAACGTCTCAGTGTCTATTGCTGTGTGACATAAGAAAGCCCGTATCGGCCGTCGGCCAAGGCCCGTATCGGGCTGTCGAGCCATAGAAAAAAAACATTTTAATTTTTGTATGTTTGGTTATTTTACTGAACCTCTAAAATAAAATAATCAGTCATCTGATACACAACTAAAAACGTTAATCAATTGGAGTTCACTGTAATCGAGTTGACTTCTATTCTGTTCAGTGTATCTTGGCCCAATGGGCGTCTCCAGTACATGAATTTATTGGGTTTTTTTGGGAAGGGGGAGGCATCAGCGAAGCGTGTATTTCTGCGGAATTTTAGTTCAACTCACGTCATGTTTTTATTGATTTATTGAAGATAGCAAGGTGTACGCGATGGATTAAAAATGTCAAGTAATTTCCAAGTTATTCATGAAGTCAATTAAATAATCCGACAGTAAACTTCAAAAACGTCGCCAGCGTCGAAGTCCACGGAGGCGGTGGCGGTTGGAGCAATAGCGTTGGAAAACAAAGTGAAGGTAGCCCTGCATCCACCATTTCTGGACCTTCTTAGTATATTCCTTTCCCACGTACTTCTGACTGATGAAGGCCGATTGTTCTGAGAATTACATAGTTGCAAAGTTTCGGGTACAGATTTATACCAATTTTTAAGCTAAAACCATAATTATTTTATATTACAATACAATAAGCAATTTTGTTTACAAATCTTCTACCATATTTCTCAATACAACATTCGCAACGTCACCATATGTGAGATAATTTTTATAAGAACCATTAAATATGGTCTCTCGCCGAGTGTTATATTGTTAATGTCTGCCGAAAAATTTTAAACAAGAATAAAAAGTGTGTTAATAAGAATCGAATGACAGACAAAAGTAAATGTTAGTGATGGACGATATATTTTCGAGTCACCTTGCTATCGTTTCACGGTGCTAATATACGTAACGATATACCTGTATCGTTATAATATAATGTTTACTAAAAGTGACTTTAGTAAACATTATAACTAGAATTAAACTTTTAAATCACCTTGAAATAGATTTGAGAACGACACGAGACTCCCGACCCCCCCCTCTCATGCACTCGTGCTTCAGCTGATGCCTCGCTGGACATTTTCCATTTTTGTAACTGTAATTGTAGAAGAGAGATTTTATAAGCCTTCAAGCTACTAAATCGTGGGAGTTCTCCCACAATAGGAACAGTGCAGCGCTTGCCGGCGTGCTTCGACACACGATCACCAGCTGGTGCCTTTGCTTATCGCGTGACTGAGACGGGAAGGAAGTGACGTAACAGAGAGAACGATGGGATGTCCTTTGCCTCCGGGTGACTAAGGGCTTGGGGAGCTCCGAAAGGTCGCTATCATGAAGTTACCACAAGCATGTTAAAACATATAATCCTAATTGTCTATTGTAATCACCTAATTTTATTCCAAACAAAACATATACCATACTTCGGAGCCAAATGTTCGTCAAAATCAAACGTCACTTGTTCGGCAAAATCAAACATTCGGTTAAGTCCAAAGAATTGTCCCAATGTTCGTTTTTTTGCCTGAGATAGTTGCGGTACAGAAACAAGGATTTGCGCCATCTGGTGGACAAGTTGAACATGCAAAGGTTCCCACACAACAAGCCTTGCTTGCGCCAGAAGTAAATTTGTCGCCGTCGCTACCTGTTTCAGTGTGGAAACAATGCGACCCGGCTTGTCTGTGTATGGCCATATTTTCCGTGAACGTGGAATCCTGTCTTGAGATGGCACGTTCGTT